GGGTGACATATCAAGGAGAGGTGTACCTTTGGATATAAGGGTGGCATTTGTATGTGTGTTGTATGATATAACTCATTCTATTATATCCTTTAAGACTACCGTGGTCCAGAGTCTTTATTTCTTTATGATTTAAAGATTTAGGATCAAGGTTCTTATTGGAAATCATAGTTTGGATGTTATTGAGGACAAAATGTCAGGTTTGGCCTGAAGCTTTATATAACCTTGTTTGGTTAAGAAAAGATTTAAAAGTGGCATTATATGAAACCTGATTAGTACAAAGGTATAAGATTTGAATAGCTAAGTGTTTAGCTGGAAAAGATAATATGATCTAGTGTTATGTCTCTAATTGTTCATATATTTGTTATATATATGAAAGGTTGTTTTCCTAAAAGTTTTGGTGATTTTCACCCTGCAATAACGTAAATAGGGTATCTCACTAGACCTTACCTTTCGGTCTAACCCTTGTTTTGTGATTTAAATTATATGTTGCAGGAGGTCCAGACAGTAAGGGGAAGGGAAAAGTTTAATATGTTCTTTTATGCGCTTCTGCTTGAAGATCTGTTTTGATTGTTTAGTACAATAAATGTATTTTGAATTTTTGGACCTTGTATTTGATCAGGTTAGATTCTTGTACTAAGGGACCTGAATGAGATAATAATATGTATTTCCTTTGTATGAAATATGTATTACATGCAATGTGTGGGTTGGGGCGTTACAGAAACACAAGTATCCGGACACAAAATGAATGATGAACTAAGAATTCGGACAGAGTTTGATCAATGAACCAAGTTATCGGAGAAGTATATTGAGTGATAAAACAAGAGATCGCACAAGTGTCAAGCGATGCAAAAGTCTCCGGATGACTCTTTGAACGATAACCAAGAGTTATGGGACAACACTACCCGATGAGCAAAACAACCAAGAGAAATCGCACAAGCTGTGAGCGATAACAAACACAAATTGATCAATACACAAACAATGATCAATCAAAATAAACCTAATTCACTCAAATTGAGCGATAAAGCACTTGAACGATGAGTCAACACTATAGCAGCAAATTCAACAGCTGATGAAATAATCCTTATCGGATGATGAACATTTAACGTCCGATGAGAATGAACACTAATTACCAGAATTCGAAAAATGCTCAAAATCACTCAAAAATTGCAAATTGATGCAATTTTCTTGCACATAAATGGTCGAAAACAATGCACAAACAAATTGAACATACACCAATTTGATTAAAAAAAAATGATCAAATAGACGAATTTAGCAAAAATACACAAGAACAACGACCAAGAAGTCTTGAAAACAAAATTTCAAGAAATTCAAATAAGAATCAATTCAAATCCAATCTCGATCAATCTGATATAGCTCTGATACCAATTGTAATCCCAGATTTCAAGTCCAAACAATCAATTAACAAAAAGATCAAGAACAGAATGATGTAGTGAATCCGTCGGCCAATGTATTGAATATAAAAGTATTACAGGCTCTTGATACTCATTGATTACAAGGATTGTGATCTCAATCTCTCTGAGTGAATCTGTCAAAGATATGTATGATTACAGTTTCTGATTACTAACTCATAAAACATCCAACTGCTATTTTAAGCAACCGCCAAAACAGAAAGGACAAACTAACCTTACAATCTACAAAAGGAAACTTACAACAACTAACTATTACAAAGCATTTAAAATAGTTTAAGCTCGGGGACTTGAATAAAACATTTTGTTCCAAAAAGGTAATTATCAAATTTTTGCTCAACATTCCTG